ATAAAACATCTATAAGAAAACAGCAACAAACCTTAGAGACTTTGATTTTCATCAAAATTTCTTAAATATAGCACAATAAACATAAACTATAAAAGAAAAAAATCAATTGGGCTTTAGCAAAATTAAAATCTTTTCAGAATATACTGAAAAGAAAATAAAACCAAACCACAGATGTGGAGAAAATATTTATAAAACATATATCCAACAAGGAACTATTATTTAGAATAATAATTAAAACCAAAACCTCTTATAACTCAATATAACTCAATAAGAAGACACACAACACAGTTAAAAGTGGGCAAAAGATTTGAATAGACACTTCACTAAAGAAGACATGTATGGCAGATAAGCATATTAATACTCATCATTAGTCTTTAGTGAAATGGAGATTAAAACCACAATGAGATTGTACAACACATCCACAAGATTGACCGAAATTAAAAGGAGTAACTGTAGCAAGTTTTGGCTAGCATGTGAAAGGACTGGAACTCTCATATACCACTAGTGGGAATATTAAAAGGAACAGTCACTGCCCTGTCTCCCCTAGGCTGGAGTGCAGTGGTGCAATCATAGCTCACTGCAGCCTTAACTCCTGAGTTCAAGTGATTCTCCTGCCTCAGCCTCCTGAGTAGCTGGGAAAACAGACACCACCATGTGTTTTTTTTTTTTTTTTTGAGATGGAGTCTCACTCTGTCACCCAGGCTGGAGTGCAATGATGCGATCTCGTCTCACTGCAACCTCTGGCTCCTGGGTTCAAATGATTCTTCTGCCTCACCCTCCTGAGTAGCTGGGATTACAGGTGTCCGCCACCACGCCCAGCTAATTTTTATATGTTTAGCAGAGATGGGTTTTCACCATGTTGGGCAGGCTGTTTTCCAACTCCTGATGTCAGGTGAGCCACCTGCCCTGGCCTCCCAAAGTGCTGAGATTACAGCTATGTCTTTGTTTAACTTTTGTTTTTGTACAGACTGGTCTTGAACTCCTGGGCTTAAGCGATCCTCCTGCCTTGGCCTTTCAAAGTGCTAGGATTCCAGGTATGAGCCACTGCACGTGGCCAGCAATTTCTTAGAAAGCTAAACATATACCTGCCATATGATCCAGTCTTTCCACTTCTAGGTGGAATGAAAGTATATGCCTGTGAAAACTGAAAGTAACTGTCTCCATATGAATGTTCCCAGCTTTATTTGTAATAGTGCAAGATAGCAGTGTTATACTATTAGCACAATTATGCTCTTTTAGCATAAGGAACATGTTTGCTTTTTTCCACTTCCTTTGCAGGCATCTTTATGTGTATTTTTGCTAAAGCTCTTACCTCACCGGAATGTGTCTAACGTCTAATCTGTCTTTCTGCCACTGTGGAAGATAACTGCTTTAGTTCCCACCCTTCTCAGTGCTTCAGGAGGGGAGACGAGAGGGCTGGATTCTGGTCCAAGCTCTGGACACCTTGGGCTGACCAGGCACTTCCTGAGACCTCAGTGTTCTCCTCTGGCAATTGTAGGCGTTAAATTATATGTATTCTTTCATGGATGTTTTTGAGCACATGCTGTGTACCAGGCACGATTTTAGGTCCTGACAACACAATGAAGAAAACAGGCTGCGGTCCCTGCCCTCATGGAACCAGTTTGTGTTAATTTGTTATGTGCTGGACATGGTCCTAGGTTTTGAGAGGACAGCCCATGTTTTCTTTTTTCTTTTTTTTTTTTTTGAGACAGAGTTTTGTTCTTCTTGCCCAGACTGGAGTGCAAGGGTGCGATCTCGGCTCACTGCAACCTCCGTCTCCCGGGTTCAAGTGATTCTCCTGCCTCAACCTCCCAAGTAGCTGGGATTACAGGCAGGCACCACCATGCCTGGCTAATTTTGTATTTTTAGTAGAGATGGGGTTTTTCCATGTTAGTCAGGCTGGTCTCGAACTCCTGACCTCAGGTGATCCACCTGCCTCGGCCTCCCAAAGTCCTGGGATTACAGGTGTGAGCCACTGCACCCGGCTGACAGCCCATGTTTTTATCTCCAGGAATTTATGTATTTATAGGAAATGGAGACAAAAATAAGTTAAAAGACGAAACTATAAGTGTAAATCATGTTATGAAGGAAACAATATCAGAGGAAACCCTGCTTTAGGCAGGGTTGTCAGAAGAGGTGGCACTTCAGTTAAGATTTAAAGGCAGGGAGAGAAAAGGTGCTCACTGTGTCCTGGTCATTGTCTCTTCTCTCAGAAGTCTGGAGAACATAAGACTGATTTGATTTCTTCAGTCGTAGACATCTCTAAATGATAATAGCTTCATGGGGCCATCTGTTTTTCACCTCACCGCTTTCTTCAGGGAGCTTCATTGTCTAATTCAGGATATATAAATGGCAATACATTAAATGGAATTAATTCTCCTTTCTGATGTTTAATGAATACGACTTTGGCCTATAATTCACAAATGATTGAGGCACAAGAAGAAAAAAGTGAAGTGTGTATCCGCTGGTAAGCCTAAGCCAGAGATTTCATAAACTGGTGTCTAGCAGGCAAATCCTGAATCCAGAGAGGTTTCTCTTGGCCTATAGTATTTTAAAAGTTAAGAAATTTCACCTAAAACCTTAGACTTGTGGCATTGTCATTTAAATCTTTAGGTGTGGCCACTCCAGGCTCATGTTCCTACAGCCCTGTGATCAGTCAGTACTGACTGGCAGAGCCCCCTTTGATGGGCACGTGCTCTCAGATCTCACTGCTTCTCCTTGTTTGACCTGCTTCACTCACCTGTTTTCACCTGTCTGGCTCTCGTGTGAATCTGTTTGACTACAAATCATCTCAGGGGAATTTTTTTGTTTTGTGTTTAAATATCTGTGCCTGGTACCAGCCGGCTTTGAGTCAGATCCACTTGTACCGGGCTGCGTGATTCTGATGTGCAGCCAGGGTGAGGACACACTCCTAGGACTGTAGCACTGGGTGTAAATGTACTTTTGTTACAGCATTCACCACTGGAGCACATGCTGTCGGGAGTGGGTGGCTCCTCTTTTACTCTGTTCCTAGGATGCCTGGTAGTAGGTGCTTTAAATACTTGTCACATAAGTGAATTATATTTTAATTTGATATGTATTTGACATTGGAAAAGCATTTTTTAAAAACCTACATTTCCTGACCAGGTGCAGTCGCTCACACCTGTAATCCTAGCTACTTGGGAGGCTGAGGTGGGAGCATCGCTTGAGCCCAGGAGGTCAAGGCTACTGTGAGCATAATCACATCCCTGCACTCCAGCCTGGGCAACAAAGCAAGACCCTGTCTCAAAAAAATCTCTACATTTCTTAATTTAGATATGTGGATTTTTTGTTTGTTTGTTTTTAGTTGTCTTTAGTAGATAACACATTTGTGTGGTTTTAAGATCAAAATGGAAAAAGGAATATAGTGAAAAGTCTCATTTCCCCTTCTGGTCCCTGTCTAAGCAGTGCACTAACCCTGCGCCCTCCCTACTCCCCAGTCAGCAAGTACAAGCAAATCCAACCATATATTCTCATTTTACCCCCTTTTTACCCTAAAGGTAGCTTCCTAAAAATGATGTTCTCTCTTTAGCCTTGACATAGCTTGAAGATGTTATCGTGTTAGTAGAGAGCTTCCTTTTCTTTTTTCTTTTCTTCCTTTTTTTTTTTTTTTTTTTCAGTTGAAAAGTATTTTTCATTGTTTGGGCATATTATGATTTACTTAACAAGTACCTAATTGAAGGACATTTGGATTTTTCCTTACATTTCTGCTGTGAGCAATGCTGCAGTTAATACCCTTCTCTGTATGTCATTTTATAATCACATATGTGCATAGTATAGCTCTATGGTAATAAATTTCTGGCTGGGTACAGTAGCTCACACCTGTAATCCCGGCACTTTGGGAGGCCAAGGTGGGCAGATTGTTTAAATTCAGGAGTTTAAGACCAGCCTGGGCAACAAAGTGAGACCCTGTCTCAATCAATTAATAAATTCATTCATTCACTCATTCATCCTGAAGTGGAATGGCTAGGTCAAGGAGTATACGCATATGTAATTTTGATATATGTTATACATTTCTCTGTTAGGTGTTGTACCAGTAGATCTTATTAATTAAAATTAGCACTGGCATTTGGAATATGTTTTTAAAAGAATATTTACTGTGTTTTGTTTTGTTGTCTTTGTGGAGTTAGAGGAGTTATTTTGTTGGTTATATGAATTTTGGTAAGAGTAGTAAGATTGTTCTAGATCATTGGTTTCCACTAATGGCCAAAGACTCATAAGGGGTTCTCAGATTCATATGCTAAACAAACATCAGCCATATATATATATATATATCTATATATATATATATTCACACACATATATGTCTTTCATATATATATGTATGTCTCACACAAGTGTGTTAGTATATATTTTAGCTATACATAGATACTGTTGTCTTTAATGAAATTAAAAATTATTTTAATAATGTTACTGAAGTCTTAGTTCAGATAGTAACAGCTCAACATCTTGTCAATGGCTCTAATATTTTAGATGGTGATATGGTTTGGCTGTGTCCCTACCCAAATCTCATTTTGCATTGTAACTGCCATAATCCTCACCTGTCATGGGAAGGACCTGGTGGGAGGTATTGAATCATGGAGGTGGGTTTTTCCCATGCTGTTCTTAATGATAGTGAGTGTCATAAGATCTGGTGGTTTACAAAGGGCAGCTCCCATGCACAGACCCTCTTGCCTGGCGCCATGTAAGACGTGCCTTTGCTCCTCCTTCACTTTCCACCATGATTGTGAGGCCTCCCCAGCGCATTAAACATCTTTTTTTAAAAAAATAGATTACCTAGTCTTGGGTATTTATTTATAGAAGTATGAAAGTGAACTAACATAGATGGCCCTTGGATTTCAGTGGTGTATTCATTCTATATTCTATCAGTTTTTTCAAAGTAACTTAGTCTGTAGACAGAGAAGAATAGAATCAACAGACTATGCATGTTCTATGAGTGCCTGTTTGCTTATTGTGTAATAAAAATAATCTTTCTCTTGTAGATGTCCCTTTAAGGACCAGTCTGCCACCACCATTCAGAAATTATAAATATGGTAACCATTTTTTTATTTTTAAAAATATATATGAATACAATTTTGCATTAGTTTGTTACAAACTTAAGTTTTGTTTTCAAAAATGAATTGACTATCTGTAAATAAAAACCAATCTGGAAGTTTGTGTAGAAATATGGGAATCCTATTATATTGCTCAAGTCAATTGTAATAGGAAGTGGAATATTTGCAAGGAATAGCATGTTTGGCAAAACTGTGTTTAAAATGCGTTTCTCTGCCAGGTAATTAGAAAAGTAAAAATGGTAGAAGACTAAGAATTAAAAGAAGGGATTTAACATTTTAAATGCCAATGATTTGAGCATATTATATAGTAGTTTTATATGGTACAATTGATGATTTCAAAATGGAGTAATAAGGCAAGAAGCTAGATGTCATTCATGATGGCACAGTTATTAACCTTCAGCAGAGTGACACTCACATAAAACTTTGAATTTGAAATTTCATTTGAAAGGTATGATGCACCTAATAAATATTTCTGTTAATTGGTGCAGACATTTTAAAGTGTCAATTTTTTTATTACCTTAGATTATTTTTTTTTGGAGTGACTTTTCATTCTGTTCTCATTTGATAGAACAACTTATGACCTAAAATCCTTTGAAATCACAGTCTTCACCGTGTGTATGCATTTTAATATCCAGAAACTAATTGTGAGGTTATAAGGGGTAGTCAAGCAGAAGTTGAAGGCACTGAGTGGAAAGCACTTTGATTTATTGGGCTTAAAGAATTTACATACTCAATATTGAATAAGAGAAAGGAATAAAAAGCATGATTAAGGTAAATATGAAACTTCTCAATTGTGGCTTTCAAGGCTTTCAAAGTATAATGTCTTGAAATATAGCTTTAAACTTGAATCAACTTACAGATGCCATTTTAAATGAGAATAGTTACATATGGTTTCCTTTTTCATGGTGTGTGTTTTGTGTACGTGTATGCAAAGCTGTGTTCCATGTAAGTTCTTTTGAAAGAAACTTTATATGATAAAAGCATTAGAATATCCAAGTTGCTTAGCATTATTGTGGTAGATAATGTACCTTTTAGGCTATTCTATCTTATTAGCATCCTTCTGTCCTAGAATTTCTATACTATTCAGATGAATTTCAGAAAAAATGAATACATTTATCTATGAAGAAATTATAGAACCACTTGAGTTTTGATAGACTTCAAGTGGCTTTGTCTGAGTTTGGCTCTTTAACAATCTTCTGCTTTGTGTTGAACAAGAAAGGCTGTAGTATTATTTTCACCTGTCATTGTCATCCAGATTGCCACCTCACGGTCTGTGGGACAGAGCACTTTGTTGGCTATTAGGGAGTGGAAAGAGTGCGGAGTCAGATTTCAGCTTTGCCAGGTACTATCTCCCTTCCCTAGGGCAAAGGGCTGGTTCTCTCTGCCACCAAGAGCCTGAGATTTCTCAGAGCCCTCCTCCCATTTAATTGGCATCCACATCTATTGACTGACCACGTATGCTACTCATCTTTAAATCCCTATTGTCTAGACAGGAGGGCACACAAAAATGTGGTTGTTGTAAAGTGTGGATTGCTCATCCCTATCTATTTCGTAAAGCTGTGTGTGATGCTCCACAAATATAAGATGCTATGTTTATGAGGTTGCTTTCCTCAAGGATTTTGTATGAAGGAAACAATGCCCAAAGGTGTTGTTTGTGATATTTACAAGGATTATTTTAAAGATAGAAGAACAAGGGAAGTAGCTTATTCAGCACAGAAAGGGACATTAATACATCTCTTTGCTGGTTTGTCATTTCTCCTTTCTTACCCACTCCTCATGCCACACCCCTTTCTGTTGGAGAGAAAAATCTGGGAAAAACTTCTGTTCAAAACATTTCTTTTTCTGCTAAAATATATAGCCATTTAATTGTGTGTTGGCCAAACCTATTAGAACAGCAGGATTTCTAGTTTAAAGGCTTATTAGCAAAATACATAGAACATAATTAATATTTAGTAAGGTCCGACTATAGTTTTGCAGGTCGATTGTAATAGGCTGAACTCCTGTTATTTAAAAAATTACTATTGGCTTCTCTCACTTGTCTCAAATAATAAACATATCTATGGTAAGATAAAGAGCATGATAGATAGCTGAAAGTCAACTTTATTTTCTTACACACATTGTAAGCTTACTTTTAGCAATTGTGGTCTCTTTACATCCCTAATATGCGTATTTTACTTAGGTTATATTTATTTTTATTTCTTAGGAATGCAGAGTCTGAGGATTATGTTGACCTTGTAAGAAAAATTGTAATAGATAACTGAAAGTTGACTATTTAAAATAATGATCAAATTCAGGGTGCTAGTTCTCATCTCGTTAACCACCTTATTCTGTATTATGAGAACATAGTTAAATAAGGTCTGTTTTTAAAATAGATCCTTTCATTTCATGTCACTGTTGGAATTCCTTGTTACAATGTGATTGATAAGAATGAGTTTTAGATTAAGGTTGGGAGTTTAGTCAATAATACATTATAATCATAATGCATTCATTAAATGGTTAAATAAAAGTGAGTGAAGAATTGGAAACTTTCTGAATTTCAACCTGTTGAATGGCTGCATAAATTATATAATTAAGGGCTGATTGATTGTTGCTGAGTTAGAATTTTACCCAAGTAAGGAGAAATTACTTACTGGAAATGCACAGGGTAGCCTGACTTTAAGATAAACAGATTAAAGAGTGAAGTTGGGTTTGAATAGAGCACATTAAATGGTGTGAGCCCGTGCAGTATTTACAAACCAGGAGGCAGATATTAATATTCTTGGGGCATTAGCAGCCTTGCTTAGATGACTGGTGGTCCCAGATACAGTGTTTGAATTCTGAGATGGTAACACCTGTATCATCATTTGCTCTTGTCATTGTATCTCATCTGAGTAGATTTTTTTGAACTGCATTTGTTAATGTCTATTTTCAGACTTTTTTTCTTTTTACATTATTTGCGAATCCTGATCTGTAGTGACTCCAAAAAAACAAGATACAGTAATGAGATTCTCTTGTCTTCCATGCTAAGAAAAAATGTGCTGAGTTGACATAAAATTCTGACATACACTGCTGTGTGTCAAAGACCCAGGCTTTAAAAGACAAAGAAAGATCTTTTACTTCAATTTTAATTATCTATAAAGGTAATTTTTCTTTTACTGTATAGTATACTTCTAAGTGAGTCTGATTATAAAACAAGAACTTACACTTCTCAATTTCATAACCACCCTCTACTCTACTCATTTTAATAATTTGAAAAAAAGTTTAGAATAAACTGTGTAAAAAGATAACTTGCTTTTTTCTTTCAGATACACTAAAGATTATTCATCAAGCCCATAAATCAAAGGTATGTTCCAAAGGTACAGCATCTGGCACATAGCAAGTAATCAATGTTGGTTGAATTTGGGAATAAGTGAATGAATACATGTACATCTAAAATATTTCCCATTATAATAGCACTTTTTATTTTGTAGGTACCCTTTCTACCACCTTAGCATTTTCACTGAAGATAAAATAAGCTGTTTCCCTGTTAGTAGTAGGTCCTTTTTAAAAAAGTGTTAATTTAAAAAAAAAGTATACCATATTTATTTATGAAGCACATATTTAACATAAAATAAGCATAAAACTTGGAAAAGTGAATTCATTTTACAGATAAAGGAAACTACTTGTTACTTCTCAATCCAGTCTCTTGGATTTTCTTAATTCTGTACCAGAACAAAAGGGCCAGAAGCCGACGCAAATAATTCACTTGTTCTGATTTGATCCTTGCTGTGTATAAGAGAAGGCACAGAACTGTGGCTCTGGGAGCACACCTTTTAGCTCCACCAAGGTCATGGCCTACAGTTCTGAAGTTGTTTTGCCTTTCCCAAAGAGAGCTGTTTGTTTATGGGTTTGTTGTGTGTTTATATTTCTGTTTTTATGAAGCCACAATCAAAGATTTGTTTATCATACACACAGAGCAGAGTGATCTTTTATCTTTAATCACAGTGGCCTTCTATAGAGTCCTCATTAAAGTCCTTTTGGCCTCCATCCAGAAGCTAAGCAGAGTAGGACCTGGCTGTTCACAGAAGCAGTAATCTTACCGTATTATATAAACTATTCAGGAACAAGTTATTATTCATAATATCCCAATACACAATGCCTGACTCATCAGAGTTTTTCCATAACAATTTTTGAATGAAGTATTTATGAATTCATTTCATTTCATTGTCTTCTCTAGTTGTAGATGTACTCTATACACTCAATCACCTTTCAAATAAATGAGTATCACAGATCACAAGAAAATGGCATGAGGGTGTGCCTATTGACTGTTGATTAGTAACTGTATTTTAAAATTTATTTAATTTTTTTTTTTTTTTTTTTTTTTTTTGTAGCTTAAAACAACACACATTTATTCTCCTCCAATTCTGGAGGTCAGAAGTCCAAAATCAGTTTTACTGAGCAAAAGCCAAGGGTTTAGTAGGATTGGTTCCTTCTAGTAACTTCATTTTTTACACCAAGGATTGTATATACCAATTTTACAATATCTGTTGTGAAATGTCTCAAAATGTCATGCTCACACGCGTCTGGGGCTGTGCTATGGAATCTGCCCTTTTGATTGGTACTAGAATGTAAGGCCACTGTATTTGGACTTCGTCCAATTTTTCTTCTTTGGGACAGGAATGTTTTCAACCTCGTTCCTCAAATGTAGAGAATAGGAAATGTCCTATTGTATATTTTTATATATTATATATATCTAAAATACAAATATAAATATAAAATAAAGTTAAAACAGTATGCTCTTTGAAAAGGTTTTGAGCGAAGTGTGTCCCCATTCTCCATTCATTGCTGGATAATTTACAGTTTGGCTTTTCATATGCTCGTGTTTCTGAAAAGGAGTAAGTAGTAAATTATTCCTTTATCTTAGTGAAGACATAGTTCATGTTCAAATTATCAGTATTATAACATTTTTAAAAAGCTGGAAATTCTGTCATTGGAAAACAGAAAAAAAAAATCTTAGAATTGTTACTTATATTTAAGACATACATTTCACACCGCAGGTTCTGGTTTTAAAATTAGGGCTTGTTTTTCCAGTTGAACAATGTATTTGTTTAAGGGAGATTCCCAAAACAATTAAGTCACTTAGAGTGCTTCTGGAATCTGGCTTTATAAACTTCATCCAAACCATAATGATGCTAGTTAAATACAGACTGTATTACGCCCTGGGGATGGCTCTGCAAGTTTCTGCTTCAACTTTTGTCAGGAAAGAGTTCAATATATTTTTACAGATATAGTTTTAAAACTTCAGAGAAACTTCATCCACCTGTCCTCATTTGTGCCTTATCCAGCTCACAGTCATTTTTCTCATTGCCAAGTGATGGTTGTCCTTTCCTTTTCTGTTTCCCGTCTGCGGGGTCTGTGGCATTGCTGGCCTGCCCTGTCAGTGTTCCAGCTCAGCTGTAACTTTAATCTCCTTCATCAGCCAAAAGGAGAGACTTCTAAATAATTCCTAAGTCTTAATAAACTCATTCATAAAAGGCATTTTCCCCATTTTCCTAATTTTCTAGGCTTAGAGACTTTCCTGATTATAATTACTAGATATCCTCAGAAATTTCTTCCCATTCCCACAATAAAAAGACTGACTGCATACCTTCCCACCAGAGCCTCCTCTCTCAATCTCTCTCTTTCTCTCTCTCTCTCTCTGTGTGTGTGTGTATGTATTATGGATGATAATCAGTGTTTGGTTTATAAAGTCGCAATAATTTGTATTAAAAAGATTGAAATAACAGCTTTAATTTCCATCTTATGTGTGGACATTGTACCCTGGAATAAACTTTATAAGAAATGTGCAATGTCTTTAAAAAAAAAAACTTAAAAACTGAAAATGAGGCTGTCCTTCCTTACCCCTTACCACACATATACTTGAAAATATAAATCTAAACTCTGGGATTAATTTTTCAGACCCATTAAAGTGAACTCCTCTCAAGATCTGTGCATTTTATTGTGTGAAACTGTACTTCAGCTTAACAAAACAAAACCTGCTATGAGGGTTCCAAAATAAGATTTAAATAGAAATGCTTAGGATATTTTAAATAGGAAGATGCAACAGCATAAAATCAATTCTCTCTTAATTTACATATTTAATGCTGCCCCAATAAAATACAATACTTATGTATATATGTAAACTAAAGAAGCTGATTTTTAAATCAGTATGTGAAAAATAAGAATAATCAGAAGAATTCTGAAAAAGAGAAATGAGAGTAATTAGCGCTAACATTTAAGACATATTATAAAACTATAGTAATTAGAACAGTATGGCACTGTCATGTGACCTGGTAATTTAATGGCACAGAATTAAAAGTTCAAAAATAGACCCCAGTATTTTAAAATATGGAAATGGAATGTATCATAAATATGGCATTTCAAGTCTTTAAAGAAAAGATGGAGACTTGATAAATGGTATTTGAATAACGGGGTAAACATCTAAAAAAACAGCTGATTAAATCCATGTATTTTTCTTTATGCCAAAATAAATACCCCTTGGATTAAAAAATTAAACCCATAGATGAGGATAGAGATGAAACAGATGAAACATGGTTTGATAATTTGTTCAAGTTGGGTCACGGGTATAGGGCAGGGGGCTTATTTTCTGTATATAATTATATTTGACATTCTCCATGATGAAAAATTCAAAAAATAAAATTAATGAAAACATTTGAAGAGAACAGGGAATTTAAAAAATATTGGAGTGAGGAAAGTTTTTCTAAGTATGACAGAAAACTGAGAACAATATGAGACTGGTACATTTTACTTCATTCACTAACTTATTCCACCAAAATTTATTTAACACCTTCTGTGTTTAAAAAAAGATAGGGCTGGGCATGGTGGCTCATGCCTGTAATCCCAGCACTTTGGGAGGCCAAGGTGGGCGGATCACAAGGTCAAGAGATGGAGACCATCCTGGCCAACATGGTGAAACCCTGTCTCTACTAAAAATATAAAAATTAGCTGGGTGTGGTGGCACGCACCTGTAGTCCCAGCTACCCGGAGGCTGAGGCAGGAGAATCGCTTGAACCTGGGAGGTGGAGGTTGCAGTGAGCTGAGATTGTGCTACTGCACTCCAGCCTGGCGACAGAGTAAGAGTCCTTCTCCAACCACACACACACACACACACACACACACAGAGACACACACACACACACACACACACACACACAGAGAGAGAGAGAAAAAAAAAGAGGGAGAGAGAGAAAGAGGGAGAGAGAGAGAGAGAGAAAGCAAGGAACACATGAAAACTAGGGGAAATTTTTCTAACGTAGAAGAGGCTGAATTTCCTTCACCTATGGAGATATTCTGCAACTCTGAAATTTTCTAACTTATAGAAGAGGCTGAATTTCCTTTGCCTATGAAGATACTCTGCAACTCTATTGGCTAAATTAGACTACAACTCCATACTTAACCCACAGCTGTCAGATTGGCAAGAATCAGAAGGCTTTGCTAACACACTATGTTGGGAGGGCGTGAGAAGCAGGTCCTCTCCGTGGTCCCGTCCTCCCTGGAGAACTAGATAGCTGGTGGATGGGGATTGGGAGGAGACTGACTTTTCACTTTCTATTCGTATGTGCTTGGAGAACTTTGTATAATGAGTAGATATTACTTTTTTTTTTTTGAGACAGAGTCTCACACTGTTGCTCAGGCTGGAGTGCAGTGGCATGAACACAGCTCACTGAAACCTTTGCCTCCCCGGTTCAAGATATCCTCCTGCTTCAGCCTCCTGCGGAACTTTTTTTTTTTTTTTTTTTTTTTTTTTTTTGATAGCGATGGGGTCTTGCCATCTTGTTCAGTCTGGTCTCAAACTCCTGAGTTCAAACAGTCCTACCGCCTTGTCCTCCCAAAGTGCTGAGATTACAGACTGTATTCCCTATTCTAAAATGATTGAGTGAAGTATTTTTTCTTTTAATCTGTATGCTCTGGAATTTAAGCCCCTGTGCTCTGTAGTGAATGAGGTCCATGAATCCTGCATGCCTTGGGCTTCTGATTTGGCTGCTAAGAGGACTTTCTGTTGACTCTCTGTCTCAGCTGTATTCTAGAAATAGAATATGTTGCGAAACAGGTGTGTTCTGGTTGATGAGTGGTGCTGTGTGCCCAACCAGTGGTCACCTCTTTGTGCTCTGTAGGTAGGAGCAGATAGCAACTTTAAATTTTCACTTGTATTTATGGAGTCTCACTGGATTTGTAAATATCACTGGAGAGCACTCTCTTTTACCCCCACCCCAAATCACTTAGAGAAATAGTCCAATTAATGTGACATGGAATCAAATGTTATTTAGCTTGAGCAAGGTTTTTAGATATGTGGACTTTTGGCCATTTGAAGTATACTTGTGGCCAGGCATGGTGGCTCATGCCTATAATCCCTATATTTTGGGAGGCCAAAGTGGGAGGATCACTTGACCTCAAGAGTTCAAGACAAGCCTGGGCAATATAGTGAGATCCCCATCTCTACTAAAAAAAAAAAAAAAAAATTAGCTGGTCTTGGTGGCACATGCATGCAGTCCCAGCTACTCAGGAAGCTGGGATGGGAGGATTGCTTGAGCCTTGGAGATTGAGGCTGTAGTGAACCATGAGCTGTGATCACACCACTGGACTCCAGCCTAGGTGACAGATTTGAGATCCTGTCTCAAAAAAACAAAACAAAAAAGGAAGCACACTTGATTCTCTCAGAAGTCAGACTGACCAGAGCCGAAAGCTCAGCTCAGCTCTGCTGCTGACCAGGTTAGGAATGACAGGAAGAGATGATGAGGGTGCAACAACAGAACAGTGACAGCTAACAGAGTGTGCTCACCCTGCGAGCAGCACTGCCGAGGGTTTGTATGCTCCATCGAGTCACCCTTACCACAACGTGATGAGGAAGGGGCTCCCTCCTCCCCTTTTCTACTGATGAGGAAATCGAGTCCTAGAGAGGTCATGAAGCTTGTTGAGAACACACAGCTGGGTGCTGGTGGAGTCTGGATTTGCATCCTGATCTGCATTCACACCCACACCACAGAACTCTCCCCAGTGCTTTACGTGGTGCGTGCACTCGGCAGGTCCTCGCTGTGCCTCTGATCACTGCCCTCCTTATGGCCAGGAGAGTGGAATCTACTTAGACTGGTGCTGTGCTGAAAGTCACAACTCTGTGTCTTTGAGAAGTCTCACCAAGTAAGCCCATTAAGTACTGATGAAATGCAGATTTTCTTTCTTTTTTGTTTTTTAGACAAATGAGCTTGTGTTGAGTTTGGAAGATGACGACAGACTCCTGCTGAAAGAAGGCAGCACTCTGAAAGCAGCTGGAATCGGTGAGGAAGGGGGCCGTGTGTTGCTGGAGGGGAAACTCACTCTCCTGGCCTATGCTGAGGCCTGGCTGATGGTATTTGGATAACTCACTGGAAAGTAAATGCTGCCCTTGGCCCTCTTGACCCTGCCCGGTAACTGTTCAGAGGAGGAGGACGAGAATGATGTACATTCTGGTCTCTTCACCGAGGGCAGTAGGTGTCTGCTCTCCAAGTGTGCAGAATGCAAATGGCTCTTTTCAGAAAGCATGGTCAGAACTCCCTTGAGGATCATTTTAAGTGATGGGTTGTTAGTACCAATGTCTACTTACTCTTACTATTGTCACTTGAGCTGATGGTTGGAGAGAAATGGATATAGTAGAACTAATGAGGAATAATGAAACATGTCGTTGTTTGTATCACATGCACTGTGGTTTTTAATAGTCTTCTGAGTCACTCATGGCTCACCAAGGCATGGAATTGAAAATGGGAGCCTGGTGTGTGCAGCTGGAAAGTACCTGATTGGGCCTTCCAGCCTAGAATGTGCTGTGGTTTTATTATAAAGAAATGTTATCTGACATGTTTTGTGACCATTAGATGTCACTGTTATTCTACGTATATGTAGACCTAAAGCTCATCTGGCAGAAGAGGGAGTGGAGATTGTCAGATAGGTCTGAATGGTTGAAGGCAGTGTGCTCCTGACACACCTCTGCAGTCAGTGACTGATGCAGTGTCACAAGCCATGCTGCTGCTTAATTATTAATTAATTAATTAATTTTTTGAGACAGAGTCTCGCACTCTTACCCAGGCTGGAGTGCAGTGGTGCAATTTCAGCTCACTGCAACCTCAGCCTCCCAGGTTCAAGTGCTTCTCCTGCCTCAGCCTCTTGAGTAGCTGGGACCACCGGTGTGCACCACTTGCTTGCCTAATTTTTATATTTTTTTAGTAGAGATGGGGTTTCATTATACTGGCCAGACTGGTCTCGGATTGCTAAGCTCAGGCGATCTATGTGCCTCGGCCTCACATTGTTCATAATTATTTATATGCACTGGTTAAGGAACACAATAAGTGATGTGCACACTGGGAAGCCTGAAATTTTTTTGATGAGTATTCTTTTGAGTTACTTTAATCACGTGTATCAGGAAATTACTTCTGATTGACCCATGTGACTAGCATGAATTCCTGACATAGATCTTCCGATTTAAATAGGATCTTAAATAGCATGTTGGGAAATCTTAGACTCGATTTCTGTGTTGACGCCTACAATATTTGCTAGAATATTCATGTCTTTCCATGTTATGAATATATAAGGTTGTTATTTTGAATAATGATTTTAAATTTGGTATTTGTTTCTTCAAACGCTATTTATTATTGTAGCAGATGGCACCTTTGTGATTGGGGCATGTGGTACCCAGAAGGTAGCCCTGCTTGTTGTTAAAGCATACAGCACAATGAATATTACAGACTGACCGATATTGATGGGGGAATTGACAGACAGCTTCATGCAAAACAGTGGAAAATCCAAAGACTAAAAAAAGGGTAATATTTCACAGGATGATAAAGTTGACATTTCAAATAAAGAAAGAATGATTTAGCCAGAAAATTATGTCAAGCCCATTGCCAAAGCATTCAGGAAAATAAAATTCAAACCCTTATCTCATCTCTTTTTTTATTACAAAATAAATTCTAGATGGGCTAAATGTTATAATGAAAAAAAATTTTTTTAAAGAAAATGTAGTTCAATAATTTCATAATCTTTGGAAAGAGAAGAGCTTTTTAAGAATGACCTCAAAGAGAGAAGCCATAAAGGGGAAGAAGTGATAGATTTGACTACATAAAAGCTAAAAACTCTAAACAGAGTTAAAGAAGAAGCAATAAACATTGAAAAATATTTGCAGCATATGCAACAGATGAAAAGTTATTAGCCTGGGGTCGGGCGTAGTGGCTCACGCCTGTAATCACAGCACTTTGGGAGGCCAAGGTGGGAGGATCACTTGAGGTCAGGAATTTGAGACCACGCTGGCCAACACTGAAACCTCATCTCCTCTAAAACACAAAATTTAGCCAGGCATGGTGACTCATGCCTGTAATCCCAGCTACTCGGGATGCTGAGGCACCGGAAGGTAGCAGTGTCAGTGAGCTGAGATCACACTACTACACTTCAGCCTGGGCAACAGAGTGAGACTCTATCTCAGAAAAAGAAAAAGGAAAAGAAGTTACTAACTTAATAAAGAGCCCTCGTAATTACTATGAAAAAGAAAAATTCTACTGATAGAAGAAGTAACTCACATATGAAAAATAGTTCCACCTTATTAGGAGAGAATGAGTACTTATTAGAAATGAGACATAGATACTGTTTATATAGTAGAGTCTAGTGTTAAGACTCTAGTCTGGGGCCAGGTGCAGTGGCTCACGCCTCTTTTCCAGCTGTTTGGGACGCCAAAGCTAGTGGATCGCTTGAGGCCAGGAGTTCCAGATTAGCCTGCACAACACAGTGAGAGCTCATCTCTATAAAAATAAAAGTTAGAGTCTGGAGCCAGAGTGCTTGAGTCCAAAACCTGATTCTGTCTCTTACTGTCTGGGTGACCTTGTACAAGCAGGAATTGTTTTAAGATTAGCAGACATGAAAAAAGTGGCATTGCACAGGGAAGTGCATGGTGTAGGAAATGGACACTCTTATACCACTATTGGGAATGAATATGACCTCTGATTTTCTGTAGGTCAGTTTGACTAATAAGACTTTCTCAAGTTTGAATTTCAGTGATATTTGTTTCTAAGTCAACAGGGACAAGCTGTGAGGTTATGATAGGTCTTTCAGAAGGGTGGTAGAGTTAGTCCTGACCTTCCCTTTATGTGAATCACTGAAGTAGTGCTTGATTTATTGAATAGAAATAGAATATACTGTGTGATTCCATTATCGTTTGGGTATATTTGTTTTTGTTTTGAGACTGGAGTCTTGCTCTGTCACTCAGACTGGAGTGCAGTGGTGTAATCTTGGCTCACTGCAACCTCCACTTCCCAGGTTCAAGCTATTCTGCCTCAGTCTCCCAAGTAGCTGGGATTACAGGCCTGTGTCACCACACCCAGCTGATTTTGTGTTTTTTAGTGGAGGTGGGGTTTCACCATGTTGGCCAGGCTGGTCTTGAACTCCTGACCTCGGGTGATCCACCTGCCTTGGCCTCCCAAAGTGTTGGGATTACAGGCGTGAGCCACTGTGCTGGACCTCATTATTGTTTTAAAATGTTTAAAATATACATGTAAGATTATTGTTTGTGTGTATATGGAGAAAAGGTCATATGCCAAAATTATAGAAATGGTTTCTTGAGGTGGAGGCATTGCCAGTAATATTTTTGTTTCTTTGCTGTATTATCTAAGTGCTCTTCTGGTGATTTAAAAAGTTCTCTACAGTTTACATGTATTCCTTGTAATTAAAGGACTTTTTTTTTTTTTTTTGTAAGTATAAACCCATCAAATTGGGGGAAAATTGGTTAGAATGAAGGCTGTGCATTTTGCTTGCCTTCTGGCCTTCTGTAAGCCACTTATCCTCTCTGAAATTCTATTTTGTTTTCTGTAAAAATAGGAATAATGAAACCTATTGGAGAAGGATGTCATGAGGTTGTGTAAAACAATGAGGGCATCTGGAGGGATGTGTGTAAAAGGCCCTCAAGAACAACTGCTTTGTCTGGAAACTGTCCTGGAGAAGGCAATTGGCAAATGTTTTGACTTTACTAAAATATTGAGTTGTTGGTCTCATTGTGATTAATTTCAAACTGACTTATGTAATGAACCATCTGTAAATCCCTCTTTTTGTCCTCTTACTTTAAGGATATTGGTCCTGGATCAGTCAGATTCTTTTCCCAGATTCTCCACTCATTTCAGGGTGGTATGAGGACTCCAAACTGCCCTCCTGACTGTGGCAAACCAGCAGCTTTGGGCTCAGGGTGACTTGGGTCCCTGCGGGGAGCAATTTTCTCTTTGTTATCTAAAGTGGTGTTGCTATGCTCTTGGGGGCAAGCTGAGGTTATATCTGGGGAAGGGGATGAGGGTACCTGGAGAGCAACAAAAAAACTCAAAGCGAGAGTTGAGTTGTGAAAATGATACTTGAAATACGTGATTTTGTTGTTGTTGTTGTTGGAGTCTTGCTCTGTCACCCAGGCTAGAGTGCTGTGGCGAGATCTTGGCTCACTGCAACCTCCGCCTCCCGGGTTCAAGTGATTCTCCTGCCTCAGCCTCTGAGTAAGCGGTATTACAGGTGTGCGCCACCACGCCTGTCTAATTTTTGTATTTTTAGTAGAGACAGGGTTTTACCATGTTGACCAGGCTGGTCTCGAGCTTCTGACCTCAAGTGACTCGCCTGCCTCGTCCTCCCAAAGTGCTTGGGATTATAGGCGTGAGCCACTGCACCCGGCCTGAAATATGTGATTTTTCTAGGGAATTTTCCCTCCCTCAGTGCCATGTCTGGTTAGATTTTTACGAGGTTTAGGAGAAAAATTCGAAGCCTTCCCTGTCTCCCGTTTCACCACTTGATCTTGCTGTAGAGCTGTCACTCTGCTATCACAGTGAGTTGCCATGGGAATAACGCCAGGGTAACAAATTTATCATGGGGACTTTTTTTTTGCTGGAGTTGTGAAAGGAAAAGAAAGGCTGCAAGCGGGGAAATTAGGGGAAAAAACATGTTTGAAGATTTCTTTTCTGACGGAGAAATCCTCTAGTTTGTTCTTTGGCTTTTTATCTGCACTGCAGATCCCGATGGAACATTTTACACCTGACGTCAGTGGAAGATTTTGCTGTGGACTCAGTATGAAAATACGTACTTTAAAAAGATTTGCTAGGTGGAAGCAAAAAGAGACTTTTACCTAGAAATGTTACTTGTAATTTAAATGTTGTTTTTACCTTGTTATCAGCAATTATAGTTTTATGGACTGATTCCCCTAAGTAATACATTTATGTGTACGCTTTTTTTCCTTTAAGTGTTATTTTCTCTCTTTCATTTCTACGACTGTTGTCTTCCCAATCCAGCCTGGTTTAAGAGAGAAACTGTGGCTGAGTAATTCTTCCAAAGCCAGTTGTGTTTCATTGGAAACATTTTAAAACAAGATACAATGTCCAAACCGTAAGTGCTTATCTGAGGAAAGCTTCTTGGCAAGCCAGGCCCTGTAATAATTCCAAAACTCCCTTGTGGTTTGTTTTCATTTTGCGTGTCCCTTCTGTCATCTGCCCCCAACCAGAACTCTGTCTGCATGCCTCACCCCTTTGGATGATCTTGTCCATTCAGCTATATTGTGGAATTCTGCAGCTCCCCCTTCTCTTTCAGGGTCCATGTTTGATTTCTGTTTCCTTAAGCCGTGGGCCCCCTTCCCTTTTTGTTTCTGGGTAGCGGTGTCTTAGCTCATGCGTGTTTTCTTCCTTCGACAGTGCGTTATGGTGGCCATTCTTCACCACTACATAGAAGCAGTGATCGTCTGGTTACTCAGTAATGTGGGTGTTGGGCCCAGGGAACTGGGGGACTCCAGAACCAGGACTCAGAGTACACCTCCACAGAGTGTTTCCCTTTTTACCTCCCCACACCATGGTGGAAATTACAGGCATGTGCCCAGTCTATCAAAGACCAGATTTTTTTTTTTTGCTAGTTGTTTTCTTCAAGCTGTAGTTTGAAATCTCTGCTAGCAGATCCAAAACAAACATCTGAAACAAGTCATGAATTCATATAAAAGGGACAGCACTTGGGACTTCTGTTGGTGGTAAAAAAAAAAACAAAACTTAGAAATATAACTCAGCTTCCAGCACAGCTTCGAATGATTTGTAGATTAGGATTTTGTGAAATTTGGGAGGATAGGCTGTACTCCCAGAGTGCAAGAGAGGGTGAGACTTTGTCCGTTTGGTCTCAGATTGCCACAGAAGCCACACCTCACCCTTCATGTATTTTTTTGTCAACAGTCTGCAGTTACTGTCACATGGCAGCCTCCCTGATCACGGATTTTTTTGTATCACAAAGTCAGTGTGTGTGTCTCAGGCTCCTTTTTCCAGACAACAGGGGCTGTGTCTCATACTGCTTGGTGCTGACTAGCAGGAGACTAGGGACTCGGAACGTATGGATGAATCCTTGTTGATTGATGAGTTTATTGAGATAAATTAGTTGAAAAGTTTAAATACATTGCATTTATTTTTTCTTGAGATTTTACACTTAAAATCGATTATTCTTGTATTCTTTCATTTAAAGTCATTATTATTTTTCTATTAAAGTTTGTGTGTGTGTGTGTGTGTGTGTGTCTGTCTGTCTGTCTGTCTGTCTGGAAGCATTATAAAATTATTAATTTTATATCCAAAGTTTGAAAGCCCTGGCTTGTGTTTATTTCATTAAACTTGAACATCAGTATTAAAATGATCTTACAAATGTATTTGGAGGGTTCTCAGTTTCATTTGATAGTTAGACGAAGGGATGAAGTGGCAGTGTATTTATTGGATTTTAGATTGCACATTCATTTCAGATTCCCATGCCAAGGCACTCTGCACCTGACTGCACTGCCGCCTGCAGCACATTTAATTTAAAATCAGGTGCCCTGGGGGACCAGCACAAGGTAGACTTCCTGAGGGTTCATCCCCAGCCAGTTTTAAAGGAGCCATTTTAAATAGTATTTGGGAAGCAGGAATTTAAGGGATAATGGTGGAAAGAGGGACTATGTAGAGGTCTTAAAAATCATTTATAATTAGTTTTCATGTAAATTGGCAAATACATTTGCAGCATAAGTCCTTGAAATCATTCTCTCAAAAATTTTTAGCAGAGTTTTACAGATTTCAAAAAACATTATAGTCCACTTCTGTTTAAGGACCACATTACTAAAATTTAAAATCCATTTAATGTTTTACTTTTGAGTGTTCACAGTAACTTGTAATTTGTGTGTTTTCCAATTTGTTAAGGGTGACAAAAATTTTAAATTAACCTGAGGTATTATACTTTAACCCATTTGTTTACCTAGATTTCCTAAAAAAAAAAAAAAAAAAAAAAAAAAA